ATGTGCCTACATAGACCTACTGCCTTGTCAACGGGATCAAACATAACCCTGATTAAGCAGCTTCTGGATCCAGCTGCCAATCTGCAGAAAATGCAGAGAAGAGAAGAGAGGAACTTGGTCAACTGCGCCCTGAGTGTGCAATTAGCAAAACCCAAACTGCTGGAAATTTTACAGGTCCAACAGGACAGGTTCTTTTAACAGATTCATTATAAGGAAAATAAAAGAATAGAAGGGGAGCCTGTAGATTAAAAGTGACTTAAAAGGCAAAAAGAAGAAAAAAGAAACAGACATAAAAGATATATGAAGTCAGAAATAATAATAGGCAAGACTAAAGTGACAGGGATCAATACTTAGGTGAAAAAGCCACAGAGAAAGAGGAGGGAGTTATCAGTATAAAAGTCAGGAAGAGGGGTATTTTTAGACCGGGGAAGAGGGCTGTGACTGGGGTGGGCTACATTCAGGGGCTTCTGGGGTGGCTGGCAAGGTTCTAGTTTTTTGTCCTAGATGATGGATACAAGGGTGTTTACCCTATAATTCCCTCAGCTGTAAAAAAATTAAATTGTTGAAGGAAAGCACATTCTTGGGGTAACCGGAGAAATTGGAATGTGGACTGTACACTAGGTAATGTTCGTGTAAACAATGAAATGCTAACTTTCCTCAGTAAGATAATGAAACTGTGATTACATGAGACAATGTCCATGTGCTTTAGAAAGGCACGCTGGGTGGGAAGGGCAATGATACCTGCACTAACCCAAATGGTTCAGAAAAATAAAGGTGTGCTTGAGCACTCACGTGTCCAATCTAGTAAAAGTGATGTGCAGACCCTCTGGATTAGGAATCTCGGCCTTGTAAAACTCTTAATAAACCATGGCACATGTACAAAAATGCACACAGGTCTGTGTGCAACAATATAATGAAAACCACCCAACTAGCCATCAACATGGGCATTTTCCCAGAAAGAAATATTCTACAGCAGTGAAAATGAAGAAATTACAGCCACACCCAGGCAATAAACATAATGTTAAGGGAACAAAACAAGTTACAAATAGCACATATAGTAAGACTCCCTCTAGATAAACTCTATATATTGATTTATGTTTATATATATATTTAAATTATAAAGGCAAAAACAGGCAAACTCAACTACAGTGTTTTAGAATATATACATATGTGGTTAAATTAAGAGAAAAATTTAAAGAAAAACAAATGAAAAACAAAATTCTGGATAGTAGTTCCCTCTGGGGAAATGGAGGGGCCCATGAAGAACTTAAAAAGCATTGGTAATTTTCTATTTTTAAGGGTGGATGGGTGATTGGTATATGTGTGGTTGTTTAATTGTTTGATTTTAAACTGTATATATACAATTGATACTTGAACAACACAGGTTTAAACTACGTGGGTCCACTTACATGCGATTTTTTCCAGTAAACACCTGAACTGTTTTGGATCCAAGGATGGGAGTCCATGGATGCAGAGAGCCGACACTACGCATTGATCTATATACCATTTTACATAGAGGATCTGAACATCCACAGATTTTGGTATCCTCAGGGGGTCCTGGAACCAATCCCCCACAGATAGCGAAGGACAACTAAGTTTTGGGCAAGTCAAAAGTTATACATTGATTTTCGACTAGGTTGGGCGTCGGCGCCCCTAATCCTAGTGTTGTTCACGGGTCACCCGTATATTATATGTTCTATGTTTGCTTTTTTAAAATCTTCACCTGAGGATATTTTTTCTATTGCTTTTCAGAGAGAGTGGAAGGGAGAGAGAGAGAGAGAGACAGAGAGGGAAACATAGATGTGAGAGAGAAACATCAATTGGTTGCCTCCCACATATACCCCGACTGGGGCTGGGGATCGAGCCTGCAACTGAGGTACATGCCTTTGGCCAGAATCGAACCTGGGATCCTTCAGTCCAAAGGCCAACGCTCTAACCGCAGAGCCAAACCGACTAGGGCTTATATGTTCTATTATCTCAAACAAAAACAAACCCTAGACCACCCTAGAATGACAATATTTCTGGACACAACCATCTTTGCTTCACAGTTCTGACAAAGAGTTCACTTTAGCTGAAGCACACAAATTTCTCTTAACCGACCAATGACAATGACTGACACGGAAGATAACCTCATCCAAACTTCACTGTTACAGGACTCAGTGCAAACATTTAGAATTCCTAAAATGGAAAAGGGATATGGCAGAACAGAAAAATGCCACAGACTTATTTAGGGTCTTTGAGAGTAATACAGCTCTATGGGAAATAATAAAATTGAGAACTGAGCCATCATTAATACCACTTAAAATTTCAGGGCCTTGTTTTACACAGAGTGTCCAAAAATTTCTTTGACTATTTGCGATCAATATCATGTACATCTGTTACATCATTATAGTACAAACAATTATGAATTACATTGCACCTAATAGAGATTGGTAATGGAATCCTGACTTTAAAACCAACTTCCAAACAAGCTTAGAAACAAATAAAACTTTCCTTCATAAAGTGTTCCCCAATTTCCATCAGAGAGAGTTTCCACCCTCGCCAGTTTAGCTCAGTGGTTAGAGTGTAGGCCCTTGGACTGAACAGTCCTGGGTTCGTTTCTGGCCAAGGGCACTCACCTCAGCTGCAGGCTCGATCTCCAGCCTCAGTCGGGGCGCGTGTGGGAGGCAACCAATTGATGTGTCTGTCTCACATCGATGTCTCTCTGTCTCTCTGTCTGTCTCTGTCTGTCTCTCTGTCTCTCTCTCTCTCCCTCCCCTTCCACTCTCTCTGAAAAGCAATGGAAAAAATATCCTCAGGTGAGAGAGAGAGAGAGAAAGACAGTTCCTGGGCCCTAAAAGATTCCTGTTCCAGGGTAGCTTAAATCTTTGTTCTCATTAATAAAACAAAACAAAAAACAAAAAAACAAAACACTGAAACTGACAAAATCAAACAAAAGGAAGGTAGGGGAATCGATAAAAAACAATGGCATTTCACTATAAAATAATTCCTGAATTCTAAGTATATCAAATCTGGAATTAATAGAGCCTTCTATTTTTCATTTAAAACTTGTGCTAAATGTTTATGTGCTCAGCACTGACTTTATTACCTATTGAGAACAGACAGCTGTCAAGAAAATTATGCTTTGAAAGTAAACAAATGGCAGAATGTAAGTTCTTCATGACTCTGAAGAGGGCAAGGGCTTAGGAGGCGAGAGAAAGAAGTGTAGAGCAACCACAAGCTAATTAGACATCTTGACTGTCTCACTCCCCTTAACCATCTCACTCCCCAAATGCAAGCATATAAATTTGAGTAGCTTTAAAATCTGACATTTTCAAATTATCAAAAAAATGCTGGCCTGTTTGACTTGCATTCCAACCACAGTCTTGTTGCTTGTGCACTGGGCTGAATCAGAGCAGAAAAAACTATTTCCAAGCAAGAGGCTCCAGGGGCAACCTACTTGGCTTTGGAGTACATGTGTCTGCCTGACAACACAGTGAACACTCAGAACTGAGGCTGGGTTTCACTTTCCATACTTCTTTCTAGGGCTGTGTAGAGCTTCCCTGACATTCTTTTATTTTCTTTCCCATATAAAAATCAGTGTGGACTTGTCCTGGCCAGTGTGGCTCAGTGGTGAGAGAGTTGGCTGGTGGACCAAAGGGTTTCAGGTTCGATTCGTGGTCAAGGGCACATACCTGGTTGCATGTTTGAATCCTGGCCCCAGTCAGGGTAAGTGAGGGAGGCAACCAATTGATGTGTCTCTCTCACATCGATGTTTCTCTCTCCCCCACTCCTCCCTCCCTTCCTTCCACTCTCTCTAAAAATAATGGAAAAAATATCCTCGGGTAAGGATTCACACACACACACACACACACACACACACACAAAAATCAGTGTGGACTTAAGGAATTTTTTAAACAGGAAAGGAAGCTTCCAAAGAAAATGTCATTGAAATGAAAGTAACACAATGAACGTTCACTCTTTAAAAGGGATTACCAAAGGGCACTTGATATTAATACAGAACTTCCTACTCAAGAGCTAGTTTACATAGGCTCAGTAGAGACTAATTCCTTTAGAAACCAGTACAAAAATTAGTCAAGATTTCACTGGAAGCGGTGATGGCCAGAGGGAGGGGTGTGGGGGCTGGGCAGAGGTGGGACATCTGTAATAGTGTCAACAATAAAGAAAACAAAGATAAAAAAAGATTTCACTGGAAGATTATTTATGTATTCAATGAGGAGGGCTTTTAATTTATTCTATAAATTACTTCCAGATTTCCAAGTTCTGGATTTTACCTTTGAGGCAGTTATTTATATTTTTAAAAGAGTGTTGTGATTTGAGATAGGAGTCAAAATAAACTTCCTTCGGTTTACAATGCAGAAGGTATGTTAATATAAGCGTTCTAACTCTTCCTTAGCTAGCTGTGCCTCTGAGTGCTGGGAGGAGACATGATGCCTGTTCTGTACTCAGTCCTCCAGATCAGGGAGAGAGAAAATTCCAGTAAACATGGGCAACATCCAATCATCGATGTGGCTGCGAGGAGAGATAAAAGGTGACACCTCCTTACAGTTTCGCAACTTCCTCCCTGTCACCTGTCCATCAGCCAGCACAGAGAACTTGGCCTGAAGCTGAATGAGTGAAAGAGCAAGGAGTCTTGGTTATTTGTCCTTTGTCGGGGAGCAAGGTATGTTCCCTTTGTATCCAGTTTTGATAAAACTTTCAGATAATATGCTACACTTTGAGCAAATTATAAATACAATACAGGGGCAATTATGGTCTAGGACTGCTGCGGAAGGCATTTTATGGTTACCACCTCTTCAGCCCTGCTGTTAAGAAGCAAGAGCACAGAAGTTCTCTGGCTCCTCCACTACGGTCATCGGTCGTCAGAGAATCTGAGCAAGAGGCGTGACAAATCAACAGAAAAGGCCAGCTTGAGCGACAGGGTTATCAAGAATTTTACAAAACCCTAGGAAACTACACATTTAAAGCAAAAGGAAGACAATGAAAAAGCTCTTTCTCACCTTCTGGAAGTTCTCCTTCCACAAATCTTCTACGACTATGTATCCTCGTAAACCCCAGTCATACAGTTTCTCCCCACTGACCTTGAAACAAAATACAAAAGATTCACTGCTGGTCCATACGTGACTGGTAAGGAACAGAATTCTCCACTATCCTTTTCCCAACAGAACTGTATTTAAACATATGATGGCTATAGAAGTCTGGAGACATACACATTAAAACTGTGCAACATGGGCAAATAAAAAACAGTAAAAACAGAATAAGAAACATAGTTTGGTCGTATGTAGTTATCATTTAAAATAATCTGCCATGAATCAGGTGTATATTCCAAACTTTCACAATTTCAAGGAAAAAAATGTAGGAGATAACTGCTGGTATGGGAAATTCCTGAAACGCAGATGCAGAAAGGTGACTTGTACCTACCACACCTAGCACATAACAGCCAACCAAGTCACATTCGCCAAGCTGAAAATCAATCATTCATTTTAGGGTTTAGATAAAAAAATGGTGAACCCAATGAAGACGCTCCCAGTCTTCCCAGGTCCCCAAAACATAAAGTCTTCGAATTGCTACAGGGATTTTGCCTCCTGACCCCAAATCCTTTCTACAACATCCTAAGATATAGGCGCCAGGGTCAAAGAATATTTGGGGGTCAGGTACCTTAAAAGGAACCTGTCCACCTCTGGCTAGCTAGCTTTAGTGGTTGGAAACATTTTTCAAAGTATTGGGCTTTCTTTAAAAACCATGCTTCCAGTAATTTGCATTCATTGGTCCTATTTATGACAAAGAATGCTGATTACTCTTCCACATGACAGTAACGCAAATTTCTGAAGTTATTCTTTTATTCCTAATTTTTATAATAATTTATCCATATATAACATATTACTTTACAAAACACATTCACATGAATTATCTCCATTCTATATAACAACCGTGTGTGGTAGGTAAGTAAGCAAAGATGATAAGGAAATATTCAGAGGCCAAGTGACTTGTCTAAGGTCATGGTGCTAGTAAAGCCAGCGCTTGTTGTAACCTGTTGGTTTCTTACAAGTCATATTCTTTCAGTTGCTCCAACTGTTCTTAAAATAAGGTAAGATTCTTGGACCCATAGGGAGCCATTTTGAGCATTCACCACATATACAAAATTGTTTTCGGTGTTATAAATTTCTGAGAGGAAAATAACATTCACTATCATTTTAAAGGTTTTCTACGGTACTTTTATCCAAACACTACTGAACAGAAAACAAAATGTGTGTGATTAAGGGGCTTGTCCAAAGTGAGAGTATTCATTAAAAAACCACAAGAATTTAAACTGTGAAACAGGAACCAAATGATACTAAAACAATATCAGAAAATCCTTTTCAATCACTGATGCTTGTTTTGTTTTACTGTGGCAAAATACACGTAACATAAAATCTACCATTTTAACCATTTTAGGTGTACAATTCAATGGCATTAAATAATACATTCACAATGTTATGCAACCATCATTACTATCCATTTCTAGAACACTTTCACCATCCCAAAGAGATCATTAATGTTTTATACCTAGTGAAAATAAAGTTAATTGTTTTGTTCTGGCTTACCCTAGGTACAAAATAAATGACAAAACTCCTTCCCACTGACTTTAAAAATAAATTAGAATGCAACTCAGATTTGCATCCTACTATCTTGGTTGTGAACACAAAAGATCTTTTTCAACATATGCTATGGCATATAAGATTTTTAAAAGACCTACTCCAAGGGGCAGCCACCTGTGCTTCTCAATCAGCTGCCAGGCCCACCCTAACCATTTACTGTTTAAACTATAGGAGGCTGACATGATGTTAGATTATTTTTATGATCTAGAGCAGGCAGAATGATCCTGTTCCTGAGCTGGGGCTGAAACAGGCAAAACAGTGTCTGCTTCCAGGGCTGCTACAAACAACATCAAGACCATGCTAGAGGGATCTTACTGGAATTTGCCACCAAAGCCATCAATTTCCCATAGCTAGAGCCACTAGGGTCCCATCTACAACTGTAGCATGATCCAGGAATCTAGACTCAACCCTGCCACGAGGACTCCAGGGAGCTCAGTGTCATGTCAGCCTGGCTCAGAGCCCTCAGAGCCCAATTGTGGTGACAGCACTGCTCCTCCTCCTCCACAAGTCTTTGTGTGATATGGAAGTTCTGGCAACTGGTCCCTTTCTTTATCAGCTGTCCAGGAACTCAAAACCTAGAGCCTGCTTTGCTCTTGCCAGTTTTCCATGGGATTCTATGCCTAGAGTCCCACTAAGTTCAGTCAGGAGGTCTGGGTTGGGGCCTGAGAATTTGCATTTCTTTTTTTAACTTAAAAAAATTTGTTACTTATTTTTATCCAAAAGAATGTGTTTCTGCCCGGCCAGCATGGCTCAGTGGTTGAGCATTGACCTATGAACCAGGAGGTCACAGCTGGATTCCTGGTCAGAGAACATGCCCGGGTTGAGGGCTCGATCCCCGGTAGGGGTTGTGCAGGAGGCAGCCAATCAATAACTCTCTCATCATTGATGTTTCTATCTCTCTCTCCTCCTTTCCTCTTCTGAAATCTATAAAAATATATTTTTAAAAAATCTTTATTAAAAGAAAACACAAAAGAATGTGTTTATCACAAAAATGTGATGACTACACCACCAACAGCAGCAAAGTCTACAGAGCTACACTGTGTTCCCTGGATATTTCCATGTCCCAAAGGCCATGCAGGACGAAAAGAGTAAAAGAAAAAATACTTAAAACAAATCCAAAACCCATGATGACTTTGGGAAGAGACATGACAGGACAGTTTCTGTCTTCTGTATTTCAGCAGTATCAAGTACAATTTAACTTGAGTAAACCCTTCATATCAACTCCAGCACGTTAACTGTACCCTGACTGTCAGCAGCAGTCAGCACAGTGGACTCCTATTTTCAAAAATCAGTTAACATGGATTCAGTCCCAGCTGGCGTGGCTCAGCGGTTGGGTATCAACCTATGATCCAGGAGATCATGGTTCGATTCCTGGTCAGGTTAAAAAAAAAAAAAA